CACTTTTTATTGCAAAATTACCACATGCATAACATTAATTGCAAAATTACTAGATGTATAAAAAAATAATTAATTGAAGTACACAACTAATTAGAGTAATTAAAGATAGATTTTCTCTCTCTCCCTATCTCTTCTTCTCCATTCTTCTCTCACTCTCTCGGTTTTTTTTTCTGATCGGTCAAATCCTTCCTCTCTCTCCCTCTCTCTGTTTGTTTTTCTGATTGGTGGAAGACGGCGATGGTCGCAACCGACCCAACGCTTTCGTTAGAAAAAGAAGCTTTTTTTTCGCATGAATATGAAAAAAATTAAGCTTCGGTAATCAAATCAAAATGGTTGAAAAGCCTCAAAAATCCGCCGCGAGCAGCCGCGGTTGGGTCCACCTGCACTACATCAGATAATTTGGGGATGTTTATGCAATTGGAATGAAATTCATGGTATTTGGAATGAAATTCATGAGATTTATAAGCAACTCGACACTTGGATTTGAAGTTATTTTCAGTATATGTTCGGTATACACCTGAAATTAATGGTATACATATGTATATCTTCGATATAGATATGTTTGGTATATGTTATGTATATATTCTGTATATTTATATAAACCCCCAAAAAATATATACATGATGTTTGGTATATGTTATGTATATGTTCTGTATATTTATATAAACCCCCAAAAAATATATACATATAAACATCAGACCGGAAAAAACCTAAAAAATATACTATATATATATATACACAAACCAATTTCAAAACGAAGATAATACCTGATATTTTCGGATATATTGTAATCGTGTATATTATATCCTTTATAATTATGAGGAAGATTTTTGTAAGTGGCGTGATTGTAGAGAACATTTTGATTTGGTAAGTTATTTTTTTTACTCAACCTTAATAATTCAATTTTTTTAGGTACAGATGCACCCACCTACTTACATATGACGTGGTCATCTTAAAATTTCGCCTACTACAATCACATATGTGTTCCATGGGCTTATTTACATGAACGAGTTCACTTCTTGTATGGCCCAATAGCTGGCCCATCGAAAGTGAGCGTGAGATTCTTTTAATTAATTAGAATAATTTCTATTTTCACTTCATTTGTTGCCATTCCATGTTTGTCTCGTATAAATTGCCAAATAACTATAAAAATGTTCCTTATTGTATTTTTTTTATTCTTATGTGTTCCCAATTTATTTTCTTGTTGTATTTTTAATCGTGATAAATATTGTATGTCACCCACTTTTTGGATGTAATATATAAAATTAATTATATTTTTGATAATTTTCAGTTGGACATTTATGTTGCATATAGAAAATATAATAATTAGGAAAATTGATAGAATAATTAAACTTTGTCAATATATCAATAGAAAATTGGCCTAAAAGTTATCAAAAGAACTAATTATATATTAATAACTTTTTAAAAATATAATACTATAATTGTTTTTAAGCCGTTGAGCTGCTTTTATTATTGATTGAGAAGCAATCTCAATAAGGAAATTTGATAAATACTCAAAACTCATAGATATATGTGAATAATTCAAACTGGAGGAAGTAAAAAATACAATAGTTTTTTCTAACTCGGACCGGCCTGCGGGTCAACTTGAGACCCGGTTGATCAGGGGCTGAAACCGGTCCGAGTGGGTGATTCATATGTGGGTGAAATGAATCCGATCAAACCAGGTAAAAAATAGATCAACTCAACATTGACTTGGTCGACCCGAGCATCAGCATCCTATAATCTTTTATTTTATTTTTTTGTTTTTTAAAATATTATTTTATTTTAAATATTAAAACTATGTATATATATATATATATTTTTATAAACATTTATTATGTGATGCAATATTATTAACACTTGTACAAAATTTATGCACAAAACTATTAATTTTGTTACGTTATGACAAAAATACTATATATATAATTTTAAAAAAATTTAAAATTAATTATTCGGTTCAACGATTGACCTAGTGACCTGGTCGATTATCGATTCGAGTTAGAAAAAACTAATAAAAACTATGGTCTATACTCTATATTGGTTTGAAATTTTTTAGACCAAACATTCCCCCTTCTTGATACTACAAGTCTACAACTATTATTGTTCTAAGAGCATGCCTTTGACAAATTGAAATGAAAGCCATAAAAGACATTATTATGCCTCCTTTTATTTTCCTACCCAACACGCCTTTTTTCATTCATTCGTCTCTAAAATTACTCCAAATCCAAAAACTCCATTCACAAAGGCAAGACAACATCACATTAGAGGAATATACAAAATTTTCTTGAAAGAAGAAGAGAATATGCTGCCAACCTTGAACAATTCGGGGCTTCCACTTTGTCTTTCTGGGATCAGCTCTCATTCTCTCTCTTTCCAAAAAGAGTCTCTCTCTCTCTCTCTCTCTCTCTCTCTCTCTCTCTCTCTCTCTCTCTTTCTCTCTCTCTCTCTATCTCTCTCCGACAGTTAAAACCAAAAAATCGAGCCCAACCGTGCAAAATTCTGTGTTGTTTGGTTTTTGACTTTTTTCAGGGTCGAGAACTTTTTTGTTCGGTTTTGGTTCGACTTTTTTCTACATTGTGATACGATTCGGTTATAATTTGTTGGAAAATCATTTTTTTTGTTTCTTCTTTCCAATTTGGTGTAGTTTTGCATCAAACCACACCAAATTAAATATATATTTTTAAAAACACGAGGCAAGACAAAAAAACGGAGCTGAATCGTGCATTTCGGTGCAACTTGGTTCAGTTATTTTAGTATATAGAAAATTTCAATTCGGTTTTGGTTTGATTTATTTTATTTTTTCAAAGTTTGTGGTGTGGTTTGCACAAGAATGACTGCAAAAAAGAATAATTGAATGATAAAATGGTTTGTCATAATTTGCCCTTTCAACTCGGGCCCTCTAATTTGATAAATTTTCTTGGTTTTGAAATTAATTTTTTGGCAGGAAAGCTGATCATGATAGAAGAAGGGAGAGCATGAAAAAGATGAAATTTCAACATAATATGAATTCATATCAAAGGACTCAAAATGGAGAGGGCTTGGATTCATACGTTTTTCTGGCTCGTACCGCAAAAGCTGCGTAAAATGCTGTAAACTTTGAATTCAATAGATTATGTGTTTTTCGGGTTTTTGTAGTAATGACTTAATATGATTTGTTCCAAATGTACTCCTTGTTAGTTACTCTTTTCATAATCTGCAGTGGTGTTCTTCCAACTCATGGCTGAATATTTTTTGTATGTGTGATGACTGATGAATGAATGAAGATTAGATAAGATAAACTTTACATCGAGAATCAACTATAGTCGCAGCATCAAATGGTGTATTCGGTTATGAGAATATATTTGTTGTTAAGCTCATCGGCATGAAATAGTGTATTCGGTTATGAGAATATATTTGTTGTTAAGCTCATGTGAGGCTGATTTTGGATTATAGAAAACTATGGTTGTGTTTTGAAAGCATATATAGCTTATTTGGTTAGCTTATAAGCTTCGTGTATTCAAATAAGTTTGGGTTTGCAGGACGAATTTTTTTAAAAAGCTCGAGCCTATCTCAGCCATCAGCCATAAGTCAGGCATTGAAATTTTTATTCAGGTAGTTTATCAGCTAATTTTATCAAACACCTTTATCATATAAGCTAGTTTTTCAACCATAAATCAGCTTTAAGCTCAATATTCACCTAAAAGCAAAGCTTATACTGGGATTTTGGTGTTCAAAAATTGAAACAAACATTCATCATCAAATTTTGTTCTCGGTTAAGCTTCAATATGGTTGAAATAATACTCAAAATATTATCATAAAGCAAAACCATCAAAAGTTTGCACGTTCGTATATCCATAAAATCTACTGCAATACGCCGTAATTATTAAAATAAGTCAACACAGGTTCAAGTCAAGGCTCGTTACTTGGCTACTGTCGTCTGAAGAGGGAGAATGCTTTCCACTTCCTTTGTATCGGAACTTCTTTCCGCAACAATTTTCGACATGCTGAACATCTAAGAAGGCAACAAGAATGTACACGAGGTATGAAAACGAAATTATGAGGGCAAAAATGCATTTTTTGTCTTGTGGGTTTAACGCCATAACAATTTTAGTCACAAGGTTCTAATTTTTCGCTTTTTTGGTCTTGTGATCTAATATTTTGCTGTAATTTTAGTCAATCTTGACTGAAATTGCAACAAAAATTTTAAATTACAGCTTGAAAGTACAATAAAATTTTAAATTATAGGAGTTAAATTGCTTATAAAAAATCAATAAATTTTAAAATCTGTTGCAATTTCAGTCGCAGCAAAATATTAAACCACAGGACCGCGAATGTTAAATTTTAGGACTAAAAATGCAATTTAGCCAACTACGTGCTACCATGTTAAGAAAGTGCAGAAAAAAGTCGAAGTTATCTAGGGAAAAAGGAACCTTCTTAATTGTCTTCTCGAAGCAAGTTTTGTGTTCGTCCATAGAAGCGTGTAAGAACTCGTCGATGTGGTCTTTCACGTCTTCCAAGAAAGTGGCACTCTCGCTCTTCTTTTTCCGGCAAGAAGCCTGAGGCTGAGATGATACCATTTTCTCGTTTGGGAGACTTTTATCAGTTGCCATTTTTCGGTTACAACCTAAGGAACATTCAGCAACCCCATCAAAACATATTCCTTAAAGACATCAAATAACCAAAAAATTGCACAACATAAGTGGAGATAGGCAGCCACAAAGAACCATCAAATGCCCTATGTGTAACTCTAAACTGGGTCGAAAATTAAAAACGCAATGCACCTGCAAATTACACGTTCTAAACAAGAAGTAACGAGGAAATATCTTCACACAACCTAAACCAAAACCTTAAAACATCATCAATAGACATGTCAACGAAATATAGATACGAAAGAAGTTTATATTAAGCTCAATTGCTCAAAGTTCTTTCATTTTTTTCCTTTTCCAATTATGAACGATTACCCCTAATCAAGCTAAGGACGAACTCATTCTTAGCTTGGCTCTCTTCAACTCTTTTAACACAACACGGTAAGTGTTCGATCAAATGCCACAAAGAGATAACAACTGAAAAACAGTAATAGTGTACACATCCCACGCCTCACCGACCCACCGAAGAAAAAAGAAAACAGTTAAGAAAGGGACGAGCATGAGAATTGAGAAGGAAGTGAAATTAGTCTCACCTTTGGATGTGAAAATTATGAAAGATGATCACTGTTTTCTCGAGAAAGAGAGACAAAAGCTATCGGTTTTGTTGTTTCACAAATAAATGTGCCGTATTATCTGATTACTTAAATAACGCTAATATAATTTTATGGTAAGTTTATTTGTTGTATATATATATAGAAGATTGACTCCACTATTAAATATTCACTATCAATTTGATTAATTCGTTCTTTCTTTTTTTTATACAATTAGTTACAATAAACTATTTTATGTTTCGATCTCCTACATTACAATATACATCATTTCCTTATCTTATTTAATTCATAAGCCAATTATTAGAAATGTGTTTTTTTTGTATTCTTATTTTCCAAATTTTATAGCTTTTTTGTATTTTATTTTTTTTATATATGATATTAAATTAAATATCTTTTAACCAACTTCGATTTGGCATGCATTTTATATATATAAAAACGTAAAAGAGTTATACATATCTTAATAAATAAATTTTAAATTGATTTATCAAACTAAATTAATATATATTATATATATAACTACAAATTATCTTATGAAGCAATAGAAATTGATTTAAGCAGTTCTAAATTTTATTAGAAAAAGAAAGTACTAAAATTTTATTAGATCAACGCATACCAATTAAATTTTAAGCCAATATCATTATTAAAAGAATAATATCATATTATTATCATAATTTAAATATGTCAATCTATATTCTAGTATATAACTAAACATATATTTTTATGAGAAATTGTGTACACGTTGATTATTAGACGAGTATTACAATAATGTCACTATAAATTGTAAGGGTATTATAATAATGTCACAATAAAATTAAATATGTTATGAGAAAGTTATAAAATGCTAAAATGTCAGACTCGCATGCTTCGTAATCCTATTTATCATACTTTTAATCTTTAAATTTATACATAATTAGGCTCGAGTGTCATGTCCAATGTTGATTAAGCTTTGTTATTTTCATGATACATTAAATATAACATTAAATATTTTTCATTGTTCGAAACTATGTTATAAGAAAGTTATAAATTTATCATGTATTTTTAATTAATATATTTATTTTTCTTCTGTTAGACTGTTATTACATACTTGCTCAATAGCCACATTTTAAAATTGTTATTCGAGGTTGGGAATGTCTCGGATCAAAAATTTCTCTACTAGTCAGAACTTGATTTCATCGATGATACACATCACAACACAAGTTATGAATGCAAGCTTGCACCAAACGAACTCGCAGCCAATGACAAAAATGACCCTACGAAGGTGTTTTCCGGAGTAAAATTGGGGTCTCGAAAGCAGATAAGACAGCATATACGCATCTCCATTTACTCATCTTCTTCAGATGCCTCGTTCAGCCACTGCATTGTATCATGTGTCACATTTACTCAGAATATGAGTTACCAGATTTTTTTTTTTTTTTTTGGTATCTCATTTTAAGTTCGATAAATGTAATATCACAACATGGCATCTTATATAAGTCACCAACCTGTATGAATTTCTCTGCCTGCTTCACGAAAAGTTTATCCGACTCATCTGCCTCTTCCTTTTCGGATGCCCAATTGAGTATAGCTTCTTCTTGTAGAAGATCTTTGTCATATAGAAGATGCAGAATCTACATGGGACCCAAAAGGAGAATAAAAAAAGTAAATTGAACTAGTTAATCATAGATTGTGTTGTAATGAGGAAAAACCGGGCTATGTTCGACTGGGTTACCGAGCCACTCTAATATGCTACATCATAATCCAGACACTACAAGATAAACATTCAAAATTGTTTTTCATATGATTTATGCAATGCTCATTTTCTATTATTCCTTTTTTTTTTTTTCAATTTTTACATACCTGGATCTTCAGGTTTATTAGCAACATATAAAATGCAATATACTAATTAGGGAGTTGAAAAAATGCATTCAGAAAATTTACTTTAACCTCAGGCACACACTAAAAGTACATGAATCCAATAAACAAAGTTACCTGCACAAAGAGCGAGGAGTATTCCTTGCTGGACTCTAAACACATTTCTTCAAATTTCAAGATTACTTCAATCTGAAATGTACAATAAAATGGATAATAAGTCTTATTTCAAAATTCGAATTAAATTACCAGAGATATACGAGGTCACCTATCATAAGAGTGTTAAGTGAACAGCCGGTCTCAGCAAAATAATGTGGTATACTCGGTCAAATCCAAAGAAATATTAAAATTAGAGGAAACCGACTGGCAAGTAGCAATAGAACTTGGTCATTGCATTATCATTTTTTTTTTTTTTTAACAAACATAAAGGAACTAGAATTACTGCCCTTATGCATTTTAACCACTTTGAGACAAATCTGAATTTCAAACTGTAGCTGTAAACATGGGATGTTACAGCATGCAAATACTCCAGCACATAATGATAGAAGAAAAATATGACAAAATCTACAGAGTACTTAAAAATGGTGGTCATTTTTAGTCCCGGAAGAAAAATCATTTGTCCAGATAATAGGGCCCAACTTGAAATTGCAAGAAGGTATAAATGGCTCTGCAACTGAAAAACATAAGCCTGTCCATATACTAACCTCTTCATCTATGCCAGGCAAATAATACTTCAAAAGCCTTTTCCATTTTCCAATCACACTTGCAACATTTTTAACAAGTTCGCCTGCAAGAAAGCATAAAATTTCAGATACGAGCTCACCATGAACCACTGCGAATTATAATGCAAATCATGAAGGTAATGGCAGCAAATCCTGGATCCGAACTGTCAAATTCATTAAGGAGAAAATGGTGGCCACTGTTGAATGACTGTAAAATTTCAAGCGAATTAGTTCCCTCCTCAGCTCTAAGAAGACACAGAAAATCATTACAATCTATATATATAATTATGAACTATCCCCATTAATGCTAAACGTTTTCGTTTCCCGCTCTTTTTTGGAGGGGTTAATTATGAAAAAATTATTGTTCATTTTCATTAAAGTATAAAAATCCAACTAAGAATCATTAATACAACGATTTAATTTTAAATGTGATATGTATTTTTATATAAAATTTTATTTTAATTAAAGTATTTATATATAATACTTATTTATTTTAATATTTTTAGTAAACTATGCATGTGCACATGATTAATACTAGTAAAATTTATCTACCACCACAAATTCCTGAGTTACATAAATAACATAGTAACAGGGTGGCAAGGACAGTCAAAGTCACAGGGTGGCAAGGACAGTCAAATTTAAGCTTGTGAAAGAATGAAAAGTATTTCTAATTGCGCGACCAGTCTATAGAAGTGGTCTAACAAAGCTCTAACCTTTGTTGGTTCAAAGACAAGCTATTTCAACTAATATCACAGTTATTACAGAAACATACAAATTATAGCACTTAATTAGAAACATTCCCTTGCAACTGCTAGAATGGGAAACCTTACCTGGTGAACCATGTTTAGTATCAACTGCTAATTTCATCATCGCATAGAATAATGCCCCAGCACAATCAGAAGCGGTCAGATTGTACGATAACCTGAGGATAACGAGTAATAATTTAACTTATAAGATATTTTCTAGAGAATAATCAAGCAGCAGAATAGATAAATTTTCCCCAAGGAACGAAAGGAACAGTGAAGTTGGGACCATATTCCTCGGGAACACGGGAGATCTCGAATCAGGGATAGATATTTGTAAATGTTAAAAAAAAAAAAAAGATGCAACTGGAAACGTCAAACAAGAAAGAACTTTTATTCAGATTTGAGAAAAGGTAGCCAAGCACCATGATCCATGATATTAATTGCTCAAAGATTTGTGATTTGTGAAATAAATAAAATATATTGCCAAAGAAGGTGTTGAAGTCATCTCAATCCTCGTTCACTGGTCCAAATCCATACATGCAAAGCTAGTCATCTTGTTTAAGCAATACATGAGATCTTCGTTAGCAAGAACCCAAAACGAACAACTTAAATATAAATTTTTTAAGCAACAATAATCATAAAAGAAAAGGGAGAGAGGATTGGAAGTGAAGGACACATCATACCTTAGTGAATTTACTTCTAATATTAAATGGTCTTCTTTCACATTTTCGTGCACACCCCTTAGAAAAGTTGCTTCAACCTGCAATAATTGATAAATAAAAGAAATTAAATTTGGAATTTAAAACCATTCAAATATCGCTATCATGACACGCACCTCTTTCTCAAAGAGGGCAGTATCGTCTCTGACATCTTCGTCAGAATCATTAACAGAATCAGGTTCCAGCTCTTCAGAATGTGGAATTATATTGCCATTTTCATTGGCTATTTCCAGTTCTTCTGTTGCTTTTTCCAAAATTTCAACAAGACGTTCTGAAGTTATTGGGGCGACTGAGGTTCTCCATTCTTCTGCATACCCCCCTTCACCGGCCGACCAAATGTAACCAACCCCACCATTACCAACCTGGTCAATGATTGCTTGATTAAAGAGAATAACGTAATCTTCTAACATATGCCAATATCCTGATCTTTACAACATAAAGGTTCCTATTTCATGGTCTGAAAGGACAGAAGTACATTTGAATTGAGCATGTATAAGCCTTTAATTAAATGAGCATGATTGAAAATGTAAGTTTCAAGCCCACTAAGATGGGGTTTGCTTGAGCAGAGAACCATCTACACTCACATAATATACCAGGGGTTAACCAATAGTTTCTTAAAAATTATAAGAGTTCGGAAAATAACTCCCATGTAGCCAGTTTTAGTGGATCTTGGAATCCAAATAGCATGATTAGAATATGCCAAGATGTGAAAATTTTGGATTTATGCGTGCCAATTAGATCCTATAAATATCTTTTTTGCTTTCCCTAATCCACGAGCTTATGTGTGAAATAATTCAGTTCTGTTTAGATGTTTTAAGCTTCTTTGTGAAAACCAAAGACCCTTAAAAGGTGGGTGCTACTAATATTTTCAACTAAGATAGTGACATGAAATAGTTTTGAAGTCATTAACTTTAATATAGGGCAACATATAAATTTAGGTCAATTGTTGCCTCCACACTTGTACAAGTTAAAGGGAAAAAAATCAACGAAGAAATATAAATGGAACCTCTGATGCAGCCTTTATTTGGGAATCCGACAACTCTGTCCTCATTTCATCTTGCAACACTTCAGGAGTATTAGATATTGCTGCATATCAAGGAAAATATTATGATCATAAAACTCCCACAAAAATCAGAATGTGTGATTGCACAATTTCCAACCCATTTTTCTGTTAGTCGTACTTTAGCTAAAACTTGAAAAATGATTTGGTATCAGCAAGACCACACCAAACTAATAAGTCACTCCCCCTATCAAACATGCTTTTGAGCAGAGAAGCAAACTAGCATTATGGAAGATCCATAGGAAAATTGCGTAGTATCATTAAAAACATCCAAAAGAAACTAAATACCTCCATTTGTATCAGGAAATGCACTGTGAGATGAGATCCCTTGATGGTATTATACTTCAAGGAATACGACTAGTGACTACAATTCTTCTTTAAATTCACTATTATCTATGGTCAGTTGTCAAATGAAATGTTCGGTTTCAAAATAACATGTAAGTCACATAGGTAAAATTGATGATCACATAACAAACTTACTAATTTATAGGACGATAAGTGGCAAAGATATAAAGTTCAGAAGTTACATGTGACTTCCATGGTCCCACTGCTATTATCAGCATATTCAAGCTCTTCATCACTGTCTTGTTTGACAGGCTGCTGAAGCAAAGAAACCTTTGAGTAGGCAGGAACAACAAAACCTCGTCCAATTATGACCTGAACAACAGTGCATTAGATACAAACTCAACTGAAACAATCAAACAATGTGTCTGATTACCAAACACACTCTGCCAAATTGGTGTGTATAGAAACAAAAAAAATTCAGCCAAACTCAGGTGCACTTGTTTTCTTGTAAAAAACAGTGCCACAACTTGATCATCTGAGTCTGACAGTAATAAACGACAAAGCATCAACTTCCCTTCCTCGTACAATGTGAAATATAAGACACACAAGTGTTCATTGCCCAGCACGTACTGAGTAAAGATTTATGCTGGAAAGTGAAACAAGCGACTGTTTTGCGCCTTAATAACCTAAATTATGCACTGCATGTTCAAAAGATAAAACTACTATACTCTGATCACGCCAAGCTCAAGGGATAAGACTAAACAAAATTATTCTGGAATTTCTATTACTCTAACAAAAACTTTAGACACAAATCAGATAATGGTTTCCATCGTATCGGTAACCACAGGTCGAATTTCCAACCCAGCCAGAAAAATAATAGTTAAATCATAAACATGTAACACTGCAGAAAAAGAATTGATTATAGCTAACGGAAGGGATCCAAATGTTTTGTCACAACAAGAAAAAAAAAATACCTTAAAAGATAAAATAACTCCAGCTTCAACAACTGCTCCAGATTTGATAATCACCCCATCGCAAACTATTGCATGCTTTAGTTTACATCCATCCTCAATCGTAACCTTATCCCAAATATAGCACCCCTCAATTGAAACATTGGACCCAATTATACAACCTTCGCCAATGACTGAATTGAATACTTCTGTACAGTTTCCAATTGTAGTGCCACTTCCAATAACTGAAAAGGGTCCGATTTTCGCCGAACGTGATAGCCCTACATCTGTTAAAGTCAAGTTTAAGAATATCATTAAGAAGATACAGAATATATAACAGTACAAAGGGGTACTTACATGCTACGTAACGAAAGTCGTATATTAAGGGGAAAAAAAAGGGAGACACGTCAAGAAGATAACTATGACAATGTTTTCAATTTCGCAAGAAAAACATGCCTAATTCCACCTATACTAAACAGAACACACATTTATGATTTGAAGTCTGTTAAAATATTATTTTCTGATTTTTTCATGATTTGCGAGCTCTACTTAGGTTTTCATCAAATAATGACATCTTGAGAACATGAACTTCATAATCCCAAGTATTTATGGGTTTTCCAGTATGAGATGAGCAACATAGTACCCAAATTTCTTGTTTTAATTTTGTATCCTATTTCTATGTCACAAACCATCCAACCACATAACTTCTCAATCACATTTCACTTCCACTTACTACTGGGTAAATTTAATCAGCAAATAAATCCAAGTGTCCTTGAGTATTTAAGAATCTTTTCACAACTCCATCATTCATGCAAGTCCAAAATACAGGTATAAGAAACAAATTCCAGTCAGGCACACAGTCCATGTACAGCTAACACAAGCACTAGACAGTTTCACAAAGTTGAGTTTATCACCTGACGCTCGATACACTCCCTGTCTTTCAAGCCTTGTCACACAGTTACCAAAAAACTGAACATCAGGCACCAAAGGGTAGGTCCATCTCTGTATTATATCTTTACTAATTGTGTCATAGCTTCTGTAATTGTCAGCCCTAGCCGCATAACTTGAATGAATTTCATGGGTGAAAATTTTGTAACCCATTATCTAAACCAAAGAAAAATATAGTTAGATGTAAATAAAAGCTTATGAAAAGAAGAGCTTGTTATCTCAATAACGTTGCAACTTATAACAAACTCAAAACACCTCAATATTAGCAGAAACGGAAAAAATGGGGAGTGGAAAAGAGACACACCAGTGACCAAGAGATTATAAATAAAATTAACACATATGATGAATGCCAATATTTTACATCTGAAATAACTATTCTGCTTAAGCCAATAGAAATAGGAGTTAAGATAGTTTAAACACCAGCTTAAGCTATGTCAAAGTTCCATACTTTCCAGGGAAGTCCCTCTATGCGAATGGTTATATAATGCATACTTGTACAAATTTAGTTTTGTGAAAAGCGGAAAAAAGATGGAGGGTCATATCATAATTTAGTGGAGATTCTTCATCCCAAGTTTTGAGTGCTAGTCTAGCAGTTTGAAAAAGTGAATTAGTTTCTCCAATTAACATAACATGTCCTATTGGCATATTAAATACTCACATCATCAACAAGTAGACCCTTCACAAAGTGACGACGCAAGTGCTGATAGTCAAAATTGTCTGTGAAGAGACTAAGAACCTCCGGGGAGCAAATGTCAATATAGCAGTCCTGTAGTGAACAAAGACAACAGTGATAGAATCATCAGTATAATACTTCTCAAACATCAAATAATAGGCAATAGTTAATTAAATTCCCTGAGAGAGATAGAGAGAGAGTTTCTTCTACCATGTTTTTTCTTTTAACTACTTTTTCAGGAGCGTTAAGCAATTGATATGAATTAAGAGCAGCAACATAAGCTGCAATATACTAAACAAAACCTGCTTATCGTTGTGAAGGGATATAGAAGAATTGTCAGTCAACAATGCCTTATCCAGAGTGACTATGCCCTTCGAAGCATCTGCCTTGTCCTCATAATACAGGAGCTGTTTTGTATTAGGATCAATGGCCATAAACAGCTCGTCCGTTCCAAGACGAGATTGATGAGTTACTGGAGATGGTTTTGACTGTTTAATGACCATCGTCATTACAGCGTTACTATCCTTTCTCCTTCTCTCCTTATGCTCTTTAAGAGCCTGGGTAAGTGACATGTTGCTAACTGTGTCTCCAGTAACAAGGATGAAATCTCCACGAATCTGCAAAGGGGGACAATAGCAAAGTTAGCTTGCCCTGAACTTAAAGGACGACTAAAAAGATATTACAAGTTTTACAAACAACATTTGTCCTTCTAAATTAGGCTATCGCATAGGAATTAAAAGCTTATTTACACTCACTTATCTCGAGCCATGTAAAAACTGGCATAAACAAGATCAATGGGATGTTTTCAGTTTTTTTTCAAATCTTATTAGTGTTGGCCTGCAAATCTGCAATGTAATATCAGCAGTAGCTGGCTTTCTGATTAGCATACAACTTCTATTAGTTAAAGGATTTGGCTACCAAAAAAGAAAAAAATGGATTATGCAGACAATATTAGCTACGCGGTGGAGAATATAGTGAAGGATCAAAACATTTAAAGAAAGATGATTACGTACCACATGCTTTTCATATATCAATCTCAAAGCATCTCCAGCACTTGTTGAATTGTGTGATTCTATTGTAGTGACTTTAAAGTTCGGTTGCTTGAACCACTTTGATTTTTCCAAATAGCCAATCACTTGTTTGGAGTGAGCACAACAGAAAACAAAAGTTTCTTCGACTCCAGCAGATTCAAGCCATGCTAGAGTATAGTCAATCATAGGCACATTAACTAGTGGTAGCAGTACCTGAAAATAATCGAAAAGAAAGAAAGAAGTCATAAACGAATCCTTTTATCGGCCATCAGATCAAAAGTGGACATCATGGCCAAATAAAAGTTCAGTCCATTCAAGGCAACTCCAGTCAAATGACGAAGTGTATAACTAGTGCAATCTATAGAAAATAGCAACGCGTGTGTGGTATAGTCGCACAACTCTTTAGTTCTCACATACCGACATACGTATACCGCCTAAATTATCTCGCACTTCTACACAAACAAATTCAAACAATCGGGAACTAAAAAACAAATGAACCATACTCGTTTCCATAAACAAGGAGTCTAAGCATCATAAACTAACCAACAAAATTTCAGTACAAATTCACAACAATATAAGAAACCATACTTTTGGACGCTCGAGTGTGATTGGGCGGAACAGTGTTGCGAAGCTATCAGCTAATAGGATGGCTTGTAGAGGGACGCGCGTGAGCTCCTCGTCTGCATCTTCCACACCAATTCCACCTCTGCTTCCTTTCTTCGCCACCATCTTTCTCCACGGTGCCGCCGAATAATTTGGTTACAGTTAACTAGAAAAAAAATACACAAATCACACACTAATTCCCGTCTGTATTTTATAGATTATATAAAAACTAACCAAAAAAATCACGAGCTTCAATTGGGTGGGTGCAGAAGCAGAAGCACCGAGCAATCGGCGGAGCGTGTGATCGTGTACGTCGTGCGGCTGACGGGGAAGACGATGTTAGGAGGTAAGATTTTCGTTTAGGACTCGAGAGATTGGCTGAAGAATTGAAATTCTCGTTCAGGGGAGATTGGGACTTGGGCCTGTCTTGTTATGGTTGGGACTTGGGCCGTGGTGGCTTTGGGCCTGCAATAGTTGTGTTCCATAATGTCACTAGATTGAACAAAATAGGGTAAAATCCATAACTGCTCCTTTTAAGAAGTTCTTAAGAAAAAATTTGCTCCGGTTTAATTTCAAAAATCCCCCCTATATATTAATACAGAATGCGCTGAACCTACGTGGCTGCTTCTGGTGCTTCGGAATCCTATGTGGCAAAATTACATGCTTCGTTATTAGGCTTGGGTAAATTTTAATTTAATTCCAAACCAAAAATAATTAGGTTCGGATTACCATAAATATATTGATTATTTATGGTCATGTTACATGTATTAATTATATTTTAATATCATTCCTTATTATAACTATTGAATTGTATATATATTTTAAAAGTTAATAACTTTTGTATTTTTTATCAGTTTTACATATGTAATATATCAAATTAATCTTCTTTTGATAAGCTTCGATTTAACATCCATATTGTATGTATAAAAAAATATTAATATAGAATGCGCTGAGCCTACGTGGATGCTTCTGGTGCTTCGGAATCCTATGTGGCAAAATTACATGGTTCGTTATTAGGCTTGGGTAAATTTTAATTTAATTCCAAACCAAAAATAATTAGGTTCGGATTACCGTAAATATGTTGATTATTTATGGGCATGTTACATGTATTAATTGTATTTTAATATCATTCCTTATTATAACTATTGAATTGTATGTATATTTTAAAAGTTAATAACTTTTGTATTTTTTATCAGTTTTACATACGTAATATATCAAATTAATCTTCTTTTGATAAGCTTCGATTTAACATCCATATTGTATGTATAAAAAAAATAATTTATATTTATCTTTATAACAATAATAAAATTATTTTTAATATTAATTAGAAAAATAAAATTATTTATCACCTAATATATTTATATTTCAAGTAGTTATATGATATAAGTTATAAAAACTAATATAATATAACACATATAAGTCATAAGTAACACATATCATTCTAAAATATATAGTAATATATTTTTTTTTTTGTAAAAAAGTAAACTAAATTTAATATAATTTTCTCATTAATTTTAAAATTTAAGAATAATTTTTAGCAAGCACCCGTGTAATACACGGGTATTGTACTAGTACTCTAATTAATCACAATTATCGGTTGTACTCTAATTAATCACAATTATCGGTCGCGTGTAATCAACTTCCTCAGTGTCACCCTCCCTCTCTCTTCATTTTTTTTCGGTACACGGACCTTCCGGTTTCCGAATCCAAGGAGAACCGACTAATCCGGAATCGAGACGGGTAAGACCACAAGGACGACAAAGCTCTCTTTCTCTCTTCATTAACCACCCTCTTCATTAACAAAATAAAAACATCTAATTTTATTTATTTATTTTTAACAATTAACAATACAGTTTCTTAGTCGTTATTATTTACTTTTCACAATAAATAGATTCTAAAAATTGTATAAAATGAGAACAAAAAATGTAAATGAATTAGTACCTACAATAAAAAAAAAAACTAAATGTACAAAAAAAAAATTATTATCAATAAATTATTAGATGGGTGGTAAAACTATTCAATGTCGTCACTCGTCAACCAAGGAGAAAATAATAGTTGTTCATTTTAAATTGTATTTATTTGTTTTCTAAATGCTGATTTATTTATTTTAGAAAAAAAAAAATGAATTGTATCATGATTTTTTATAGAGACTGAACAACTGGATAATTTACAAAAAAATAACTATTTATAATTTCCAATTTAGTCTTGATATTTATGGCGATGGTTGTTCGTTTGTTTAAAAAATTAAGTGGGATCTTGTTTGATTTAGTTGTTGATCAATAGGATATTAACATACATACAAAGACGGAGCTACAAAGGGCACAGGGGGCCGTGGGCCCCCTGATTTTTTTTGAAAAAATTAATATATAATATAATAAAAAAATATAAAATGTATAGAAATGCAAATTTCTTACAATATATTAATAAATAGACTTTATTAAAAATCAATATATCTAAAGAAAATACTATAAAATATGTATAAAAATGTAAAAAATATTTACAATGTATTAATAATTAAAACTTATTTCTTATGCTATTTTATTTAAATTAATAATACTATTTATTTATTGAAAAAAGTACTAAAATCCTTATATTTTAAATTTCTAGATAAGCTTTTGTAAATATTTATAATGATTGGCTCTTTCATTCTCTTAATTGTAAAACGATTTAGTAATTTATAAAATCGAGTATTTAGTTGCATTATTATATTTTTTTAATGTTGTCTTTTTACTCTTTTTTTTTGTCTAATCACATATTTTAAATTTGTTTATTTATTTATTAAAGAAATTTCATTTTGATAAGCTCTCATCAACGAAAATGTTGTGCAATTTGGTGCAAAAGTTCAACTTTAATCAATTTTTCGACCAAAAAAAAATTATTATTTTCATAATTTGAACTTAAATTATAAATACATGAAATCTCATTTTTTGTTTATTTTTTTAAAGCTTGAAGTGATACGGATTCTATGTTCTAAAAACTTGATGGTACACGTAGTTATATTTATATTTATAGTAAATACATTTAAATATAAATGAGTGTTTCGACTTAAACAACAAGATCGTTATTTAATATTTAAAATCGGGCCCCCCTGAGTAAATTTTCTAAATCCGTCACTGCATACATAATAATTAAATCAATTAAAAAAAGAGCACAAATATTTGTCATTATAACTTAAAATAAATTGATAAAACTAAGAAATTTACAAACAAAATAGTGAGTGTCGTAACCAAAAAGAAAAACTTTATAACATCTATGATGCAACATGAAAACAACTTCAAAAAAAAAATTAAAACATCTATGAAGCAACGAGAAAACAACTTTCTATTAACAATAAAATTAATGAGTTAAGTTTTATAACTAATATATAAGATTGTGAATTTGACAAATAAAAGGGGAACCAACGGACATGGTGGGTCGGGCGAGAGAGAGGAATGCGAGGAGGAAGAAGGTAAGAGAGAGAGAGAGAGAGTTAGGGAGATTGACGCCATTGATGTAATGTGTGGGGAGCTTTTTCTGAGTTGAAATTAGGTACTTGCAAGGGGCTTATTATAGCAAAATTGATGTAAACATCAGGGATAGGTTACAGAGATAGTGAAAGTTGTGGCAGAGAAGCACAATAGATTTGTAGGTTACGGATGCAGATAGTGAAAGTCAGGGTTACGGCTGTAGGTTATAGAGATAAATTTTTTATTAACTAAACTTTAAAAAAAGTCTTGTTGGACAGAATTAAGAAAATAAAGTGATAACTTATATTGACACGTCAGGGAGTTATTTGATGCGGTAGAAGTTGGAGGGGTATGTAGTGGTACTGTTTTGTTAAAAGAGATGTAGAGTGTCCTTATATTCTATATCATCCTATTGGACCTTTTTAACTTATATGTATAGGATCGGTTATTGGTTCGGTCCGGTTAACTGAGAAGTTATATTCAAACCGAACCGAAAATCGAAATATTAAAAAATTATAAACCGAAAACCGAATCAAGTTTATGGTTTCGTTTCGGTCGAAACCGAATGTACGGTTCCGGTCGGTTAACCAAAGTTTGTGCACCCCTAACACCATTTATATCAAGCAAAAATTAATTAGATCAAACATCATAGGCACAAGTAAAAGAGCCAATAATACCTTGAAAACGTCATGTCATATCTTATGTCGTACGCAAAGTTTACATAAACAAATCACAAATCATTCACTACCAAACGAAGAAGATAGGGCTGAAAGGGGAAAAACAAAGCCGAGCATTCAAATTGATGAAAAGTGATAGCACGAATTATACCTAAACTCGAAAGAAGGAAACGAGAAGAGAAGAAGGCGACGAGCATGCTGATTGAGAAGTAAAATACCTCTAATCACTTATGGGTGAGAAAAGTCACAAAGATGTTCGCTACTATGTATGAGGAATCTTTCAAAATACACCGTCGGAAGTAAATGGACCGGCGGGGCGGCGGTTTTCCCAAGCGATAGGCAGCGATGGTTTCAGTCCCAACGGTTCAAGGCGAGCTCAGTAAAGTGGGCGGCGTCTGGGGGTTGTCACGTCTAATTTTGTTTTTTTGTTTTGTTTTGTTGTTTTTTTTTTTAGAACCACTTGTATATGGTGCTTTTATTTCACATCGAAGAAGCGTGTTATGCTTGAGAATCAATTTAGGAATCGTGTGCTCCAACTGAGTCAGGCGGCTCACGAGTTGCTCGCGATCGCTCGAGTCAATGCTTGATACGAACTCGGTCAAACTCAAGTTCGAGTGGAGCTTGAACAGTTTAATCGGACTAACGAGTTAACTCTCGTGCATAATTTTTAAGAGGCTTCTAAGCTCAATGAACAACTCGATTTTATTTATATAAGTACCTCATATAGCCTATTTAGATTAAAATTAATACCCTTAAATTTAAAGTTTAGTTGTTGAAATTTGGAGCCAAAATAGAGTCATGTAAAGCATCGAGTCGAGCCCAGGCATTTTTTTTCACGAGTCGAGTCGAGCACCATTTTATATGGTTTACAAAATTCAAACCATAACTCGCTCGACTGTTTGTATGTCCGTCTTATGCACGAGTTTCTATTTATATAGGGAAAAAATTGAGGCAGAAAAATTGGCAGTTGACCCGTCGTTTTCGGATAAATATCGATTTTTTTTAAGGAGAATCAATGATATTCTCACTTTCCCTCATTTGTGACTTGAACTCATAACTTATCGGTTATAGATGAAACATCGTACCAACAAAATGTGTTTCGTTATGAAATAAATCTCGAATGTTGACTTAAAACAACTACAAAATCGGACAAATAAAATTAAAAATAAAAACATTGGAGGCATACCTATTTCGATCTTCCCGAGCCAACATTTTATTTTGCTCGATTCAAAATCCGAGACAATGAAAATGGGTTCGACGGGTTGCAACTCGGCTCAGTGGACAAATCTATCTTGAAATGTTATTGTTTTATACATGAGTGTGTTGTAGCAAGTGGAATAACCACTATTAATAAATTATTTATCTTGAAGTGTGTGCCAAACATTTTGCCTATAAAAAGGCATCTTCAGCATTGTAAATTTGTACGAAAAAGTAAGGAGAAAGGAAGAGAGAAAGCTTGTTATAATTTTGATCCGGTTTTTACATTGTGTTCTTTATATTCCCCGTATTTTATAACAGAGTGCACTTTCTTACATATTTGATTGTATTATTGTATTGTGTTCCCAATAGGACTGCAAACGAGTCGAGTGGCTCACGAGTCGCTCGCGAGCGCTCGAGTCAAAGCTTGAACTTGAGCCCATATTTTGCATTGTCGAGCGGCTCGATATATATATTAAACTACTAAAATATCATATATATATATATATATATATAAATAGTATAAAAAGTGTTTAATGTGTTTAATGGTAATTTCACTTAATTTTTTTTGAGCCGAACTCGAGCATTTGATTTCGAGTCGAGCTCGAGCTATTGTATTTTCTTATCGAGTCAACCCTAGCTAAAAAAATAAAAATTCAATCATACTTGATAAGGTTAATGCTCAACTTGGCTCGTCTCGTTTGCAGCCCTATTCCCAACATGTAGATTTATGTTATTATATTTAAATATTTGTTTTTTTTTTTATAAAATTCATGGTTAATCAACTTTGATTTGTAACTGTTTTAGTCACTATGTTTAAATTATTATAATGTAAGATGGATAAGTCGTACTAACTTGTGCCGTTTTAAATAAAAACAATAATATAACTTTTTTAAAAATAGTATTTTAAATTTTATATTGAAACTTATCTCTTTTTTCTTATATATAAATGTTTTGCAAGTATAATATATGAGCCATTTTTACTAGTTTTTGATTATAATAAATTGATGAAATGGCTACATAATTGAAAATAAATATAGAAAATATGTAATTTAATTTTTGAATGTTATAACAAAAAAGGGAAAAAGAAAGTCTCAACAAATACGTAATTGAACGATAAGAACCGTTGATTACGCTAAAGTTTGACGCACCACCGACGGCCGACGAAGAAAACATTTCTTCAACCTTATTCGCTCTTGCCTTTGATCTAACGGTCCAACATAAACCCTAATTGCCCATCAGCCTTCAATCCAACGGTCCAACATAAACCCTAATTGCCCCAAGCTCTTAAGACCGTCTATATAAGTTCATTTTCTGTCACCATTACCATTTCTCCATTAGCAAACTCTCTCAACCAGCAGCCAGTTTGAAAGGTGAGTTTTCCTTTTCTTCTCTATTTTTGTTCGTCGATTTTATCTCATGTTTTGGTGTTTATTGTGTACGTGTGTATCGATTTTGATAGCTTGAGCTCTGTTTACGTGCATTGATATGATCTTAAACATTTCTGGCTGATGTTCTGTATTCAACAATTGATTTGATTCAATCATATATGATAGATCTATGTTAGTTAATGTTCGATTACGATTAGTTTTATCTGAAGGTTGTTTTGAGAAAATTATTGGCTATGTATATGTTAATCTGATGTGAAGACATATTATGTTTGCGTTGATACTTGTCAGTTGCTTATGCTATTGTGTGGATCGGATTCGGAGCTTTCATAGCTGATTGGTATGGTTGCTGAGTGATTAATTAATTGATTTTGTAAACCGGCTTTCTGTTGTTGCATGTGTTGATGAGCTTTCATAGCTTATTGACCTTGTTGCTGAGTGTTTAATTGATTTTGTGAATTGGCTTCTGTTGTTGCACATGTTGATGAGCTTTCATAGCTTATTGATCTTGTTTTTGAATGTTTGATTGGTTTTGTGAATTGGCTTGTGTTGTTGCATATGTTGATGTATATACTCCTTCTATGTATGATTGTTTGTTGTGTGGGATCTTTTAACAAATGTTTATTGCCACCTGAAATACCTTTTCATGTAATAATTACACTTCCTGACCAAGTTATATCCATTTAAAAAGAAGATTGTTTTTAGTAATTATCTTCACACTCATGGGTTTTTTTCCCATCTTGCTTTGGTCTTATGCCTCTTGTAATTTATTGTGATTTTCTGCAGCTTTGAGCATTCAGCATGGGTAAGGAAAAGGTTCATATCAACATTGTGGTTATTGGCCATGTCGACTCTGGCAAGTCGACCACCACTGGACACCTCATCTACAAGCTTGGAGGTATCGACAAGCGTGTTATCGAGAGATTTGAGAAGGAAGCTGCTGAGATGAACAAAAGGTCCTTCAAGTATGCCTGGGTTCTCGACAAGCTCAAGGCCGAGCGTGAGCGCGGTATCACAATCGACATTGCCCTCTGGAAATTCGAGACCACCAAATACTACTGCACTGTCATTGATGCCCCTGGTCACCGTGACTTCATCAAGAACATGATCACTGGTACCTCTCAGGCTGACTGTGCTGTCCTCATCATTGACTCCACAACTGGTGGCTTTGAGGCCGGTATTTCCAAGGATGGTCAGACCCGTGAGCACGCCTTGCTTGCTTTCACTCTTGGGGTCAAACAGATGATTTGCTGCTGTAACAAGGTTCGCTAATTTGTTGAAAATTATTTGCTGTTAGCTATCACTTGTTTTGTTGTCTTTGTTTCTAACTTTGCTTTTTAAAAAACTTCCTCAGATGGATGCCACCACTCCCAAATACTCCAAGGCAAGGTATGATGAGATCGTGAAGGAGGTCGCTTCTTACCTCAAGAAAGTTGGATACAACCCTGATAAGATCCCATTTGTTCCCATCTCTGGCTTCGAAGGTGACAACATGATTGAAAGGTCTACTAACCTTGACTGGTACAAGGGCCCGACACTCCTTGAGGCTCTTGACCTGATCAACGAGCCCAAGAGGCCCTCGGACAAGCCCCTTCGTCTCCCACTCCAGGACGTTTATAAGATTGGCGGTATTGGAACTGTCCCTGTCGGCCGTGTGGAAACAGGCATCCTCAAGCCCGGGATGGTGGTCACATTTGGCCCGTCTGGCCTCACCACTGAGGTTAAGTCCGTTGAGATGCACCATGAGGCAATGCAAGAGGCTCTCCCTGGTGACAATGTCGGTTTCAATGTGAAGAATGTTGCTGTCAAGGACTTGAAGCGTGGCTATGTGGCTTCGAACTCAAAGGATGACCCTGCTAAGGAAGCTGCTAACTTTACCTCGCAGGTTATCATCATGAACCATCCTGGGCAGATTGGTCAGGGCTATGCCCCAGTGCTGGATTGCCACACGTCCCACATTGCTGTCAAATTTGCCGAGCTTGTGACCAAGATTGACAGGCGTTCTGGTAAGGAGCTTGAGAAGGAACCCAAGTTCTTGAAGAATGGTGATGCTGGATTCGTTAAGATGATCCCGACTAAGCCTATGGTGGTTGAGACGTTCGCTGAGTACCCGCCTCTTGGTCGTTTTGCTGTGCGTGACATGAGGCAGACTGTTGCTGTTGGTGTTATCAAGAGTGTGGAGAAGAAGGATGCATCGGGTGCTAAGGTAACCAAGGCTGCTGCTAAGAAGGGTGCTAAATGAAGTATGCTGGTTGATGTGGGCTCTGTTTGTGATGTTGCTCGGTTCAAGTACTTGTTGCTTGAGAACTATGTTTTTACTTTTACCGTTGTTTTAAGTTTTTTGTTGTGTCGGTTATTTCTGCTGCCTTGTGTGTTGGGAAGTCACTCGCAGAATTGGGTTCTTGACAGGCGGTGGCATTTTGGAGTCTGTCTTTCGGTTTTGAAACTTTGAGTCAGTTTTATATGTTTCGGTTATTTTGGATATTCTCGATGATGACTATCTAAACATTTGTGGTTATGTCCCTTCTTATATTTTTGATATATTTTCTGTTTCGTGGAAGATAATTTGTTGTCATGGTTTTGAATGTTGAATTAATGTAATAGCCAATAGGACACTTGCTGTTTTGTGTTGGTAATTTTATATTTGGGAGCTAGATGATATCCACCATAGTATGATAAATATATATACAGGTTGGTTGAAGTTTCACTTTATGGTTGAGGCTTGTTTTGAAGTTTCACGTCTGGTGATGCCTAATTGTAGTTCCTAGTCAAGTTGACTATAGTATAATATGGCAAATTTAATGTGATAAGTTTGTTGCATACTACATTTTCAACAAGCTGCCTTTTAACATAGTGGATTTATGTATGATGAGATTTAACTGAATGAAATCTTAATTCAAAATTTATTTTCCTACTTCATCATGCCCTACCAAGATTCTGAATGAACGATGTATACCAGAGTTCAAGATTTTATAAGATGAGATCTAAAATGTATTGTGGATTTGCTCTGTTCCATGTACTCGATTGCTCGGTTGCTATCATCGACCCATGAATCAAATCACCGATAGGAATGGAAAATACGTTCATCTCGTGAGTTATAAAATATTGATTCGGTTGCCATCATCGACCCATGAAGCAGCATATCACCGATTGGAATGTAAAAATACTTTCATCTTGTTAGTTATATTGTTCAACTCGCGTTGAATGCCGTGGATAACAACATAAAGTGGTCGAACCCAGAAAGGATGGATAAGTTCCACCAGCAGCAACAAAGACGCCAAAAAACATGAAAATGCTGTGTCAATCTTATTCTAATACATACATTGAACTGAACAATAACACAAGAATCCATGTCTATAGATTAGATCAATACATAAGACTGAATTGCAGGAAAGTAGGCCTGCTACATACATTGTCTTGAACAATAAACAAGAATCCATGTCTATAGATCAATACATAAGACTGTAAACCGATGGAAATCAAACGTAACAAAATTTCTTATTACTTCATAGTTGATCACAGTTTGTCTCATTTCGATCACATTGCTGCTTCTAACATTCGTCTATATATCATGTTCAATTTCAATTTGTCTTATTACACAACAGTATGATCGAACGCGCATTTTATGTGTTTCAAGTTTGTGTGTTTTTTTTCTTCTTGGGAATTATTCGTTCCATCTACCTAACTGAAGCTAGAGACATGATCAATCGCATAATTTTATCATGAAATATATGTTCTCTAAAATATATACTAATTTCACTCTCCAAAATCTTTCTGTTTAAAATTCTCCAAAATCTTTATGTTTCGTAGATTTTTTACAGATAGATCAACACACGTATACCTCAAGTGTGTGTTCATCTAACGATAGATAACTCACTGTATATTGATCCACCGGTAAAAAACTCAACTTGAAATGGTCCGAAATTTGTTCAGAAAAGTAGGGTAATTAATCACACAAAATCATGCACGCAAAGGCATCTAAAGCTAATAAAACCTTATGGCAGTAACTCATTATGCCTTTAAGACAAATTCAACAAGAATGATGTTTTTTCTCATCATATAATGCAGTTCCTTCCTGAGGTAAAAAAATCATGCCATCCTATTAAGATAACGCGATTCTTTTACTTCAAGTAAAAGCAAGCGGTAATTAATAGGTGTTACTACTTACTAAACATCATTTGATTTCATGAATATGCTATAAATCTCAGTATTTCTCATCATCATATCCTATATAAGTATCTAATTATACTCCTATTCAAAAAGAAAAGAAAAAAATAGAGGTCACAAATATCTATTCTCCTTCCTATCAACCTATGGACTTCTCATTTGTTTTTGTTCCCTCAATATCACAACATATTTATCATGCTGCAAGTAGACACATTCTCTTCTTCCTTTGCTGCATCACATTGACATCCACTTGAGACTATCACTTCGGCTTTCTCTTCACTTCCATCGTTTTCTTCAACTGGAGTGGGGCCCACCATAGGTACAAGAGGTCCTTGGGGGTTCCCAAAAACTACGCCAAAAATTTGCCGGTGGCATTCGTCGCAAAAGTAAAAGTATGTGAAGTGGCCCTCGTACGTGAGCTTATGCAGCATGACATCTGGCAAGACTCGCTGCACAAAGTCGCTCATTGATGGAGGCACGACTCGATCTTCGGCTCCCTTTAATCGGACGAAATACAATCAAGAATGGGTTTTCGTTAAAAATAGTATACCCACCCGTAAAGTTAAAGTCTCTTTTTTAACTGCAAGAGAAAGTGTTAAATCGGAGTAAATATATTAGAGTAAAAGTTACCTGCCATATGTGTATCGGGCCAAGTAACCCGCCGAGTCGTTTTTCTGTGGGTCTGTACACTGATTTAAGCCAATCGAGAATGCTACTGCCCTTATTTTTACTCTGCATATTGAGTTCTGCTAAGCTGAAACCCCAATTCGAGATTTGTAGAATGGCTTCTTCAACAAACGGCTTCACGTTCTCTTGCCGAACAGATTCTTCGACATCTCTCTCCCAGAAGTCTTTGAAAATTCTGGTCTCTACAACGGCTCTATCCTGAAAAATCATAAATATTTCAACGCGAAAGTTCATTATCAGCTTATAACCGAAATCAGTATTCTTTTTACAGAAAAAATTATTGGCAAACACAAAGCCCAAGTGGTGAGCATTTTGAGTGTTATGGACATGAGACGAAAACACAATCACTAAGGATGCTGTTTGTTTATAAGTTCTCTCATTTCATATTCAATCCATACTCAAAATTTAACTCAACTTTAATTAACCCAACCTCACTATACTCAATACTATTAATATAATTAAATAATATCAATCAATCATTTTCATCAACTCACATAATTTTAACTAACCACCACTTCACATCACCTCTCTCATACTTTTACATCGAATAAACTTTAATTATTTTATTTTAAATATTATTTTAATATAATATCAAAAAATTCCACTAACAACCAACCATACCGCATTTTTCAATATTAACTTTGGTTAACTACAAAACTCGTTTTGAGCGAATATATTTGTATCCGATCACGTGCCAAAATGCGATGTAGCACAAAACATAGCAACAAAACATAGCAAAAACAATGATTGCAAGTGATTGGTAGTTGGAAATGTAAGTGAGTCAATAATGAAACTTGCACGAAACTGTATAATAATTGGCGTTTATTTACAAAATTGTGTTAATGAGGTTGAAAGAGAAAAAGTTAGAGCGAGTAAATTGCGTATCCGATCACATATTTTTATGACAGAAAAATTATGTTTAGTGGAATTAAAATGATATATATATGATATATATACATATATATCATTGTAAAATGTTAAGGGTCTTTCATTGTAATAACCACAGTCCAAGCAAGATTTCAAACACCAACACAGAAATGCAAAAGTTAAATGGTTTTTGAATTTAAATTACTTGCCTTTTTCCCAAGTGAGAGGTATAGCTGCTGATCTATCGGGCCATGATTTCCAGAAAGGAAACTTCTCCTATAGAAATACGGAAGAAATCTGTGAAACTTCCGAGCTAAAAAGTACATCAGCTTTCTCTTTACTGCCCAAGTCCCCCAGATTCTTCGTCTTTCTTCTTTGGTCAATCTCGGTTCATACGGATTCACCATTGGCGCAAACATTATAGCACCTGAAATTTTGTTAAAAGATGTATCGGGAGTTAGGACATAATAACATACGAGGAAAGAGGAAAAAGATCGAACAAGTCAAACAGTAGTACATTACTAAGATATTTGAACCATCGAGTTTTTTATGTAATCCGTACAACTTAATATGATAATTGTTCAAGGAATAGAAGCCAACTTCAAACTGACTGGAGTTCGAAATTTTTTAACAAAGTTCAAAATCATGGATATCAAAAAAAAAAATCTCGTGGGATGTATAAAAACTTAGCAAAAATCCCATGCAGATTACCCTAGCAAAGAACTTAGAGGATGCTTGGATACAAGTTACCCCAAAAAAATTCAATCATTCTTAACCAATCACAATTTTTTTTTTTTTTTTATTAACTCAAATCTAACTTAGCCTTAACCCAACCTCACTATCCTCAATATTATCAATATAATCAAATAATGTCAATCGGTCATTCTTACACATTACGCCAACTTTAATTCACTATTCGTCAACTCACATAATTTTAACTAACCATCACTTCACATCATCTCTCTCCTAGTTTTACATCAAATTAACTCTAACTATATAAATTTAAATATTATTTTATCATAAACTCAAAGTCCCATTAAACAACTAACCATATCACATTTTTCAAAATTAACCAAACAAAACTAAAATATCTTATATCCAAGATTCCTTCAGCAATCAAATTTCTCCGGAACTATTTACATCTTTATTAGCTTCATTCAATCCATTAAAAAAGATTCATATCCAATGGAAATACTGTTTAGGAACATTTTTTTTCCTCTGTTCTATGCCTGGTTTTGATTTTCAAGTGATAAACAAAAACATATTTTGCAAAGAAAAAAGTCAATAATAAGAGCTAAAAGAGAATGCAACAAAGAGCTGATACTCGTCTAGTAAGCAGATTTACCGGCAATCCTATCAGGAATGTAATGAAGAGCAGCCCAAGCGTGCTTGCTTCCTTCTGCATATCCCAAAACCCAAAACTTGTCTGTAATATTCACAGCATACGACAAATGTAACATATCCAAAGCCGAAGACTCGAGGTCCCTATGAGGATGAGCATCACTTTCTCCAAAACCCGGTAGATCATAAGTCACGAATCGAACACCGAAACTTTGTAGTAAAGTAGCTTTCAAGCCAGGTATCCCTAGCATAAAAAATAATTCATTTGAGCTCACACAAAAAAATAAATAAAATAAAATAAATAAATGGCACAGTTTTTCATTATACCTGCAAGACGAGAAGAAAGAAAAGAATGGGGAGCAACAATTGAATATCTCGCTTGATCAGGCGGGACACCTTGCTCTTGATAAGCTAATCGTCTTCCATCTGGAAGCAGTATAAGGCTAGCACTAGTAGGATGCACCTTCATCTTTCGAACCAATGGATTTGTTACGGGCTGACTAATATTCACAATTAAAACTGCAAAATTTTTCTTTGTCTGTCAGTTGAGAGAAACTCAAAAACGATATTCATGACATGCACAAAGATTCGATACGAATAATGGCAGTCGTTTTTCAGCATGCTAAGGGTATATGTATATCTACATCCACGGTTGAAAAAGAAAACTCTTGAAAATTGGATTAATCCGATTTTGAAAATTTGATTAATTTGTTGCCAATCAAAGAAGACAACAAATTTCCTAAAGTTCGTGTACGAATGAAGAAATTATGGAGAAAGCACGGCAGCTTATTGCTTTCACAATTTCACCTCCTAAGGCCCTTTTACACATATATGTTCAATGCTTAAACAAAATAATGAATTATATCAAGACCCATTAGTCAACATTACGATTTAAAAACCGAGAAAGCCAAGCATTTCATTACATCTTTACTCGAATTTCATGCCGAAAGAGCCAATGCAAAACTGAATCTAAGCGAATCGATTAGAACATTTTCCACAATGCATAAAATGCAAGAGTACGATAAGATAAATCACTAGCAATCACAAACAAAGGGAGCAAAGAAAATAGAAAACCCAAACACAGAGAACAAAACTAGCAATCACTAAGGAAAATCAGATTTCAGATATACTAAAACCAAAATAGAATTAATGTTACTAGCACAACACTAAAAAAAAAAACAATTCCCAATACAGATTCACATTAGCTCATGGAACAATAATTAAAAACAGGACCAAATATTAATTAACAATAAATAATAATAATTAAAAAAAAAAAAATGCATCACCTGCTAGAACAAAGATCCAGACAGAAGCAATTACGGCCCAAGCCTGAACCGGATCACGGTCCTCCGGCAGATACTCATTCATAAACCTCAATTTCCCCAAAATCTTCACGCAGGGGCCCTTGAACTTCCTCACAATTACCGAATCGTCCCTCAATATACTCTGCCTCACCACATCCCTCACGCCTTTCCCAAACTCCACGCTCATCTCCGCCGCCCCTTTGGCGAACTCGGCCGCCTGAAACCTCCAGTCCGCCGCAGCAGCTCCTCCGGGAGAGCTGTAGCTGTACCCATTATTAGCTTTTCCGACGACTTCCTCGTCGTCCCTGAACTCTCCCCTCCACCCAGACGACCCGTTGACTTCGGACATTAAACCAAAAAAAAAAAGTTGTACGCTTTTTTGACTGCTGCTTGATCTCGACACAGATTCCAACAATGGCGTCGATCCTAAGCTGACCCCAGATTTTTCCTCACAATCATCATCAAGACGAGACCAAATCCAAGCATAAAATACTTGCACAGTACAAATAAATAAATAAATAAATAAAGTTATAATTTTTTTCCTTAATTAAAAGATCCCGTTTCTATATATGACTGCTGATGGGATCTCGCTACAGAAGGGCACACACTCAATAATCAGTATAGCCATTTGGGTATTTCGAAAAAAAAAAAAACTTGGGAGTGTATTATTTGTAATGTGCATGAGCTGGTTCAGTACGCCATTGATGGGCGTTTATGGGGGGAGAGGGGTTGGGCTGTAATTTTCTAAAAATGCAAGGGTGTGAGGGAGGAAAAGGTCAGAATTCGGCCACGTCAGCAGGGTTTGGCGTGACGCGGGGGGCGGCGGTGCGGTGGTTGCGTCGTGGCGGGGCCCGCCGTGGGGTTGGTCGGGGGCAAGCAACCGCTCACTTTTGTGATCAACAGACGTTTCGTAAAGGAAAAAAAAATAAAAAAAAATCAGAACTTTACTATAAGTACTTGGCAATTTTTTCTATTTTCTCTATCCTCTCTACTTATATTTTATTTTATTTTATTTAAAAAAACGTTGACATATAAAGTTTCAAAAATTAACAAAATTGTCTTATAAAAGTACAAACAAAATTGATATTTTACCTTATTAAAATTTTATAAAGTTTTTTACTCAATAAGCAGGGGCGTAGCCAGGAATTTTTTTAACCTGGGGCTGCATATTATTGTAGCTATTATTGAAACCGAGTATACATGGTCATGGACCGACCCAGCCTGTCGGTTCAGGCCGGACCGATACAAACCGGCCCATGGTTTGGACCATACCGAACTGGAACTGGAACCCGAGGTTTGGCTTTAAAAAATCATTTTTTTTTAATGAACCGGAGGACCATGAACCGACAGTTCAATGAACAGGCCCATGCATGTGTTCGCGCCGGTTCAGGGTCCTCCAACTGTCGGCTCGGGATCGGCGATTTCGACCCGTAACCGGTTTTGGTGATAATGACTAGAACCAAATTATCTGATAACTTATGTCGATTTGAATTGGAAAACTCACTCGACTCGCTTATATATTTAAACAAGTCAAACCCAAATAGCTAATCGAACTTGTCGATCAAACAAATAGAGTCGGGCGTGTTTGCACTCAACTCTGTAAGAGTTTTTTCTTTGTCTAGGAAATAAGGCCGAATTAATTATTGGATGCGAAATCAAAAAAAAAAAAAAATGAAAATGGAGAACGGATTGTGCAATGAGACGAACCCAATTAAATAGTCCGCAGGAGAAGTGTGTGTCGAGCTAAATTTTTCAGCTAATTTGGTACTTGTCAAGTCAACCCATTAAAAAAATTAAAAGGCAATAATGTGTTGGGCTACATTATAGACCTAATTGATAAAAATCTAATAAGGACACAATTGTCATTTGACAATAAAGGATTATTTTTTTTTTCCTCTCACTGCAATCATCACTTTTCCTCCATTGTCTTATAAAAAATTTCGACGTGAATCTTGAGACATCAGCCCAAAATTAAATGGGGCTACATAAAAAATTACATGGGGCTAATAAAGCTTATGTATAAATTTTTTTAAAAAATATGATTAGCAATTTTTTATTTTTTTGGGACATAGGGCTGGAGCCCACCCTAGCCTTAGGGTGGCTCCGCCCATGTCAATAAGTAATCATAACATTGTATGATTTATCGATTCCCGATAATTGTTTTGTTGGTGATGGTCGATGAAAAAGATATGAGACGTAAGTACATTAGTGAAACTCGATTTTCCAATTTCAAATGATCATCACAATATTCGAATTTTTACGAAAGTTGTTGAGAAGCTAAAATAATGGAATATTTGAGAGGTTAAAAAGAATTCAATAAAATATTAAGGCTAAATCTAAACACTCGATGCGGCAAATGAAATTCGTATATACCAAATCCATATCATATTTGGACATAGCAATATTACAAATTATAACATGAATACATGATGTGGCACATTATGATTGGTGCCACACCATGATGTGTGTTAGTTGTGGCACCAATCATAATGTGCCACATCATGTTGTGGCACCATAATATGGTGCCATAGAATTTCTGCACATAAATAAGTACATATCTAAATGCAAAATGTGATCAATATAAATAAATAATAAGTAGTAAATTATTTTGCTACACTTAAATATATAAAGTATGTAATTCAAAATCTTAAATATTTCATTTTGGAAGACATGGGAGTTGAGGATTTATGGATAATAATAATTGTGACAGTTTTTCAATAAATGAATGTATTTATAATATGTCAATAATGGCAGCCCACTAATAAAGCAAAAAATGTTGTTGCCGCATAATAATATCTTTATCACAAATTTAAAAAATTTACATACATACGTAAATAATAACGTAATATTGGAGCCAAGAGAATTAAATGTAGAGACCTAAAACAGCTTTATAGATATAATTATTATTTTTTATTTATTTCACCATCAAGATTTATCAATAATGAGTGAAAAAAAAATAAAAAAATATTCATTTGTCTTATTTTTTCCACAACCTCCATAACACAATAAGAAATGACAAAATACTAATGAATATTTTTCAATAAAAAATAAACAACATTTATGTATCAAACATTATAACTATATAGATTATTATTATTATATATATATATATATATCCTCCCTATATATAATTGCAGAATGCGCTGAGCCTATGTGGCTACTTCTGGTGCTTCAGAATCCTATTTGGTGAAAAATCATGCTTCGTAATTAGGTCTGGACAAATAATATTAATATATTAATAATTAATAATCTAGGTTCGGGTATTCCATAAATATTATTTAGCTAACTTAGGTATTTTAATATCACTTTTACTAATATAACCCTTTAATTATTTGTAATTTTACATAGTGAGACACTAAGTGACTAATATATCCCTAAATTTTGATTTGCTTCCTTCAATAAGCTATTGAATTATAAATGTATTTTAAAAGTATATAACTTTTGTATTTCTTATCGGTTTTACATATATAATATATCAAATTAATCATCTTTTGATGATCTTCGATTTGACATCCATATTGTATATATAAAATAAATAAATTATATTTATCTTTATAATAATAAAAAATAATAATATTTATTAAAATTCATTAGAAAAATAAAATTATTTCGCAATTGTTATATTTATATTTAATGTAGTTATATAGTGTAAGTTAAAGAATTAGTATAATATAACATAAGTAAGTCGCACAAATAAAAAGTATCGTAATAAATATAATATATATATATATATATATATATATATATATATTCTTATAAAAGGTATTTAAATTTTTAAACTACTTTTTCTCATTAATTTTAAATTTTAAGAAAAAAATTAGCAAGCACCCGTGTAATACACGGGTGTTGTACTAGTATATTTTGTTTGTGGGTGAAAACCGTAAAAAAATGAGCTGCTTGACTTTTTAACAACTAGTATTCATCCTGTGCACATGCACAAATATAAATAAAAGTTTATACTATATTTATATATATAATATATAAAAATTTTATATTAGTTAATTGATGTATTACATTTTAAATTTTGACTACATGCAAATGTGTAATGTAAATATAATTTATTTAACTTACGTATGAATCTTTATATTGATACCGTAAATTTTAATGGCTAATATAATTTAGTAATTTAGAGGGACCATACAATTAATTAGTTAGAAAAATATTACAATTATTTTTATCATTGTTATAGCATTTGTTTATGTGATTTTAAGATGTTTAATTATGACACTCATGCCAATTAACTAATATTAGATAAAAATCGCTTAAAAAGAACAAAAAAAATTTCATTTTAGAAAAAGTATTTTAAAGAAAAAAATTGCAATACAATTTTTATAAGTATGTAACTTCCACATACTATTTAATGTAAGTTGTAATCAATTAATGTTAGTAGTGAATAAATTATATTCAAATTATTATTACACTTTATTAATGTAAAATGTAACGGTTTTACTTTAATTGAAAAAATGAGCGGGAAAATAAATGGAGGTTTTATTAAATGTTTTATTAAATGCTATATGCCAGCAATTATATGTATATAGATGGTACTTTTCTTACACCGTAATAATTTTTTTTTGGTACAGGGACCTTCCGGTTTTCGGATCCACAGGGGAACCGACTAATCCGGAATCGAGCCGGGTAGGCCACAAGGGCGGCAAAGCTCTCCTTCAAGAGTTTTAACACTGCTGCATTCCCAGGGCTTAAACACGAGACCACTGGTTAAGCTGGAAGATACTCAAATCATCTCATCCAATCGCTCTTAGGTCTACACCATAATATTTTTAAAGCTAGACTAGAAACAAAGTCTATCTTTCACGTGAGATTGGTTGACTAATCACGTGAGATTGATTGACTAATCTCTCACGCGGAACATTTAGATCAATAGATCATCCATCCATTTTTTTTTTTCTTCTTTTCATATTTCCAGATTAATAGTCATAACTATATTTGTGGGAGATATACTTTAGTGAATATGATGGTTTAGAAAATTGGACCGGTCAGTTGGACCGAGAATTGGTCAGTTGACTGATCCGATTTATTGGAATGAACTGGATGCTAACGAGTCGGTCAATGACCGGCTGAACCTGTAAAACCTGCCAAAAATCGATCTCTTCGGACCGGTTGAACCGTTCCAGCTTTTTTTTTTAATTTTTTAATATTTTTAAAATAAACAAAAAATATATTTTTAAATATAATATATAAGTTATTAGTAGTTAGTTTATGTATTGAAATGTTTTAAATTGACTT